CTGCAGTTGGGATGTAAAGTACATAAATAAATTTATTTTTTAAAAAAGAGGTTTTGGCTTAGAAGTGCACAGTGGCACATGCCTACAATTCTAGTACTTCCAGGGCTGAGGCAGGAGGGTCTTGAGTTCATGGTTAGCCCAGGCAACACAGTAAGTTCCACCACCTGGCTCTAAAACTGAACCTAAACTGCCAGGGCAAGAAGCACCTTACAGAGCAGCAGATGCTATGAATATGGAGCTACCACCCCCACAAGGACACCACCACCACCACAGCCATATAATTTGGGTGACATTTCATTTGGCTAAAATCACGTGTAAAAGATTGGTGTTTCTGGAACACCTTTTCTTTTTTCTTTTTTTTTTTTTTCCTTTTGGAAAGGGATGTTGGGCTAGAGAGGCTGTATAGCTATGTAAGGTCATACAACCAGTAGGTAAAAAGCTGGTATTCACACTGGCTGTAGGGCCTGCTTCTGAGCCAAAGCTGGGTTCCAGCTAGAAACACTGTATAACACATACATGGTCATCACAAAATGTCACCCCTTCCTCTTTCCTCTTCATTTTGCTCACCTCATCCCTAAGAAGGCAAGGATGACCAAGAGCACCCCTAAATTTTCAACTTAAGATGTTCTGTTGAATGTTTTCCTATAAAGAAACTAACTAAACTGATGGAAGGCATGGAACTTAGAGGAATAGCACACAATTTTTGATGACAGAATGAGGATTCAAAAATATCTCAATAGACCCAGATGAGGAGTTAAAAATAACACTACATTCAATGGGTGGATGTGAGATCTTGAATCTATGTTTAAAAGTTACCACAAACTGCAAAGAAAAAGAAGTTTTTGCCCTTGTTCCCCCTAAACCCTCCACTACCCTCTCCAGCCAATCAGTGGCCTGGCATCACAAAATGTCACCTCTTCCTCCTTCCTCTTCATTTTGCTCACCGCATCCCTAACAAGCACTCTCCTATTGCTCTTCCTTCTCTCTCTCCAATCTGTCTAAACACAAAAGCAGAAAGCCTCCACAGAGCACCTCTCTGTACCTGGTCCTCCCGCTTCGTGCCTTCCCTGACTTCTGACGGCCTAACTTTGAAATAGGAGTCCCAGAGTCTGCCGTTCGAGAGCCCCTAATGTCACCCACACTCATTCACTTGCTCTTCCTTTGTCGCTGCAGCTCCATCCTACCCTTCATAAGCTGCTCCATCTCAATCATCCTCATCAAACCAGTTGCCACTCTTCTCCAATCCTCCCCTGCTGTTATTGGTCACGTGTTCTTATGGCACCGCTCTTGTCTGTTTTAGTGCGTTTCCTCTCACAACGTGATGCTGTGGGTGTGTACATTGTTTCTTTGTCACATGCTACTCCTTCTCTCCTTTCCCTAGACTGTAAGGGTCCTTAAAGGTAGAGTCTGTGGACTCTTCACACACAGAAGGGTGGGGGAGGCTTGGTAGATGCTTAGTGAAGCTCTATCCAATGCAATGACAAGATACAAAAAGACGAGATCGGGTGTGTTCAGGGTGGTATCGGCAATCTATGGGACCTCAGTACTTATCCCTAGCACAGGAATGGACTTTGAGGGCCCATTTCAAATAGAGGGATACTCCCTCAGCCTATTCACAAGGGGGAGGTCCTAGGCCCTATCCCAAAGGATATGACAGACTCTGAAGACCTCCCCCCCCATGGAAGGTCTTACTTTCCCTGGGGAGTAGAAATGTTATGGGATAGGTAGGGTGTTAGTGGGGGCAGGGGAGGAGGGGTTGGAGAGGGAACTGGGATTGGCATGTAAAACAAGCTTCTAACTTAAATAAAAAATGGAGGGAAAAAAGATACAAGAACTGGCTTTAGTCTTGGCCCCCAAGGGAGGCACTTGATAGTGTTATTCTATTATGCAGAGCACACCTGGAGAACAGTTCAGGCTTGGGGGAGTCCTTGTTAAGATGGATACTACCAGGCTAATGACAATGGAGAAGGGTGACAGGACGAAGTCCAGTCTAGGGGAGAAAACACATTAAAAAAAAAACAAAAACACAATGAACCACAAACACATAAGGAATAAAATGGAGTGGACTTTGAGTATGTGTTCTCAAAAGGAATTGTGGGACCCTGGTCTCTGGATGTTTTTCTGCCTCTTGGTTCAAGATGCAGGTTGTTGGCTTCACTGGGCACTTCTGCTTTGATAGAAAATTCTTTGTCAGAGGTGCACAGCAATGAGACCATGATATTTTGGACTGGAACCACCTGAAGGGAGCCTTTTACTCTGTGGGTTAATTGGCCAAATTATTGCATTATAGTAACACAAACCTGACTAATGTACAATGGCTTCCAATCTCTTCACATGTTGAAAGGAAATGATGAATAGGTGCCAAGCTCTAGGAACTTAAAACTTTTCTGTCAAAATAATTAAAGCAACAACACTTAACAAATTCTACTTATCAGTAGAGTTTAGATTTCAGAGCCAGCTATTTTATGATAGGTTCTTTATTACAGTTTAATTATAAGTAATATTCATCAACATTATTATTGGTGAGAAATTGGTTGGTGCCATAATCATATGTATATTTACAAAAAACTTTAAATATAAAATAAATCACAGTGTTATTAAAGCCTAATTTTAAAATGTTTTCATTGCTTAAAATGGATGTTTCAATGTTTAAAACATTCTTAAATTCTCATTTGATAGGTCTCTTATTGGTACAACCATTTTGGAACTTATTTTAAAACACCTGAAAATAGAACACCCATGGGATGGCCAGAGGGTCCAATTTCAATCAAATATGTTAGGTCAGTGGGTTGAACAATTTGTATACCCAATAAAATAATTTATTAAGACTCTAGTCTCTCTGCATATTAAAGCTGACAATATAGTCGTTTTGGGCATGAATCTAAATCCTTGCAAAACTCAGGACTTTTGACATATCATAAATACATTTGTAAAATTAAAATCACTATTTTAAATAATCTTAAAGTCTAGGAACAGAAATATCACATGTTCTCTTTTAGATGCAGAATCTTTACAATTCAAATTCTGAGAAGTAGAGAGTAAAAAAAGTTGTTCCTTGGGTTGTGTGTGGGGGGTAGGAAAAGGGCATGTTGGGTCAAGAACACAATCTCCATTAAACACAACATGAATTTTAAAATTGACCAGGTGTGATGGCATGCGCCTTTAATCCCAACACTCAGGACACAGAAGCAGACAGATCTCTGAGTTTGAGGCCAGAGTGAGTTCCAGGACAGCCAGACTACGCAGAGAAACCATGACTTGAAAACCAAAACAAACAAACAAACAAACAAACAAACAAACAAAACCAAAAGAAATTCCTCAGTAGATTTTCAATGTCCACATCACACACAGTAAAGAAGCTATATGAAGTGATAGATGTGTCATAGATTGATTTAATCATTACTTATTTTAAAACATCCCATTGTCTCCTAAGTAGGTTCAATTAATACTTTTCAAGTAAAAATAAAAAAAAATGTAGTTAATGGAATTTCAATCCACAGGGGTTTGAATTCTCCCACTGTATATTTGTAATATATAATAAATGTTCTTCTTATGGTCCCTCCTTCCTTTTTTCTTGAAAACCAGTTATATTTTATTTCTTCACTAAGTTTTATTGTAATGGAGTACATTTTTAGCTTGAAACGTTTGCTTATTATGTTGTAATTTTGGCAAAACAAAGTTATATAAGCTCAAGTTTTAAAATAGGGCTTTACATTTTCTGTTACCACAAGAATAATTTTTAGTATTTTTGAATTACCATGATAATTATTTAGTCTCTAACTGAATATAAAAATATTACTAGTAGATGACTTTAACCTATTCTGTTGACAGTTTGATGAATACAAAAAGTAAATATTGTTGGGAGCACAACTCAATGGGATTAGAGCTTTTTAAAAATTAATTGAGCTAAGACAATGGATAAATAATACTTCCTGCTGGAATGAGGGAGGTTTGCTTTCAAATATATGATGTAATTCTTTCAGATCACTTCTTTTCAACTTTGTTTCCTGGCTCATATTGAAAGACTCTCAGAACCTCTAAATGTCCAAATCTTGTCTTCTCAGACCCTCTGTTGGTTCGTGTCACTCTGCCTAGGTAACACTGTCTCCTACCATTTCCCATTTAGGCAATCCTTATTGTTCCTCCAAATACAAGGCCATTATGCTAGTGCCCCCTCCTTTACTGCAATGCCTTTATGATTCTCTCCACTTGCATGAATATCAGCTGTCTGGCATGTTACCTTCTGCAAAATCATTCCTGTCTGTAATCACCTTTTCTCTGTGTTTTCACACAGATTTTATGATTATTCGCTGTACCGTCCCTTTCTATCCTTAATTAAATATCACATACAATTTAGTATTTGGTTATACATTATCTTTTTTTTGTAATTGTTTCAAGTCTTGTCAGCCAGGCCATAACTGTTCCTATTATTAGTTTTCTATGTGAAATGCTATGACCTTTTTATGAGCACCAAATAATTTGATAAACCCAGAAAAAACGAAATCTGAGGTCTAACAGGTCAAGTTCATAACTCTGTTTTTCTCTCTTCAATTGATGCTGAAATAGGGTTAGTTGTTCTTTCCTGATGGTAGGAGGGCTTCACATCAATGTCAGTAGGAATGTGTTTGTGAGAATGAGATATTCTTTATATACTAGAATATTAGGGGTTTTAAATCAGGCTATTATCAGGATCTTTTCACTCGCCAAGTGGACTAATCAAGACCCAAAGTTTCCTTGGGGAAGCCACACTTCTAGTGCTAGGTTTCTATGAAAAACAGGGCTGACCCCCCAGCTGAACCATTATAACCCATCTTAAGTATCTCTGCTCACTTGTTCTTTTCATTCCCTTTGTCAGTGTGACTGTGCATAGACCTAAGAGACTGTCTCTATGATTCTCCTTGTCAGGCCTGCTGACAAACTCAGGGAAGGAGGCAAGGAAGGCAGTGTTGCCAGCACCACCCTGCTCCACACTGAGTCAGCACCGTCGCCTAGAGCTCTACCTGTAGGCAGTGGAGCAGGTATCCTTGTACTCCTGGAGCTTCACACACACCATGTTGAGGAACTGATCTGAATATGCACTCAAGTCATGCATCAGGTTCATGAGGTCTTGCACTGTCTTCTCCACAATGATTGTGCTCTGGAAATGAACAAAAAAGAGAGGACACAGAAACTCATGAGATTTCTGTTCAGAAATAATGTACAGGATAAGCAAGAACAACTGAAACAATAAGGTCACTTAAGGTACTTGAGCTTCCTGTAGGATGTGGCACTTAAAAATATGAATTAAAATCAACAACCAAATAAGCATGTCACACAATGCTAGCCTTTCAAAGACCTGAAAGGTCTGTTCTCAGGAATGGCATAGAATAGGGATTTTCAAAAGGTCTGGTAGACTTCATGGAATCCACAAGATGCCTCTATATCTGTTTTTATTGTTTAAAATGTTGTTGGGAGGAGGGGGCAGTGGAAACCAGGACTTTGCACTCTATCCCTAAGCTACATCCCCATTCCTTGATGGTTTGTTTGTTTGTTTGTTTGTTTCTGACACAGGATTTCTCTGTGTTGCTCTGGCTGTCCTAGAACTCCCTCTGTAGATTAGGTTGGCCTCAAACTCAGAGAGATCTGCCTGCCTCTGCCTCTGCCTCTGCCTCTGCCTCTGCCTCCCAAGTGCTGGGACTAAAGGCATGCACCACAACTACCACCACCACCTAACCTCCTTGCTGTTTTAAGACTGGGTTTTGCTACGAAGCTCAAGTAGGCTTTGAACTCACAATATAGCCCAGAATGCCTTAAATTCCTGATCCTCTTGCCTTCATTTCCCAAGGGCTGGGATTATAGGCTTCCACTACCACTACTGGAATCTCTGTGGGTTTTAAGCAAGAGCATTCATAATCAATGGAAGCCTTACTTATCAGCTCTACTTAGAGTGAAGGACCACCACAGGCAGCACAAAGAAAAAGGCTTCTGTTATTTGTTTTAAATTTAGAAACTATCATTGTATTAAGAATAACAAGTAATATTTGGGTTATAGCTTATAGCTTGCAGAGTGTTAGTAGCATGTTTTGAGTCACTTGAAAATCATATAATACTCATGGTTAGCATGAATGTTTACAGGGTTCTTATAAGTACAGGGCACAACACTAGGCACTCTACTTGCTTTAGCTTACTTAACCCTTTCAGTGCACCTGTAATTACTTTACTGTCAGGGAAAACAGTAGCCAACAGGATGAGAAAGTCCAAACAAAAAAGCAAGAGCTCCAGGCCCTACTCATTTTTCTGTTTCATTCTGATTTAACACTGGCCCTGAGTTTTGTCCACACCCCATTGTTTTTTCACATTTATTCATGTTACTATAACAAAGTAGTAGTCCTCCTGAGAGAAAGGCTACCTGGCTCCCAGTTTGGAGGTTTCAATCCATAACTTACTAGCTGGACTGTTTGGGGACTATGCTGAGGCGGCACACAGTCAATGGTGGAACTAAACTGCTCAAGGCATGCTGGAGCTAGGAGAGGAGAAAGGCCTGACTGTGGAGTCTCCTCAGAGGACATGTCCTAGTGGCCTGAAGACTGCCCACTACCCCCACACTTAGAACCTCAGCAGCTGCCCAGTAGCTCTTCTCAGGGACTAAGCCTTTAACACATGATTCACAAGGGCAAGTTCAGAGCCAAACAATGGCATTATTGTCAGCACTGTTGAACAAGGAAGCGCCCACATAGACTAAGACTTTAAAATTAAACCAAAGAACTCCCCAAAAGAAAATTAATAAGACCATCTTAAAGCTAGGGTATTATGCAACAAATTAGTGTTACTTCTGAAAAGGGGAACATTCAATAAACTCTGAATCTTTGGTTAAAAACACTTATTTCATGTCTCTTGCAAAGAGAATAATTACACTGAAGTAAATATTAATCACACGCTTACCAGTCTGGAATCCTTTGGTCTATAAAGTGCTTGCTATATAGTTATTTAAATAAAATTCTAAGGCTACAGAAGACTTCGATATAAAGGAAATATTAAAAATATTTTTCCACTTTCACAGTGACCTAGGAAGGAATCAATAGCATTTTACTTTGCTTAAAGATACACAATGGGGTCAAGGTTTTAGATGCTTTGTTTCCTCAAATAGAAAGAACAGATAAAGGTAGATACAGTGGAGAATTCGCCTGCTCGATGAGTTACAGCTGAATGCTTATTTGAGATGATTTGCTGCTATAGGCTTCTGCCTACTATGCCTTCCTCTCCCCCCAGTCCCACTGAAATAATCAGAAGGAAAGAAGAAAGGAGCATTGTGCTATGTAAGGCAAACCTCACAGGAAACCAAATTATAGTCTCTATAGAATCCTCACAAGTTCCACTTCCTTCTCTGTATTGATTTTGAGATTAAAGCACTGCAGCTTCACCCTGATCTATAATCCCATTCCTCTGTATTTGTGTGTGACTGACAGGAATTGATTCTGTCCCACTACATGTCCCCACGTTAAGCATCTAAAATCCTCATCCCAATTCAGAACACAGGATATCCTATAAAATGTGGACAGCAATTAGTAAAGCAGAGGAGCTCAGCAATCCTCACAAAGCCTGCTTCAATTCTAAAGCATTGCAAGATGAACATGGGGAGATTACTCTGATCATTAGGAGAAGGCCTGGTTCTATCCTCAATTACATGACTGGTAATCAGCTCTGGGGTAGCTTGGGCAGCCCTTCCTTTATTATGACTCAATTTAGTCCACTAATAACAAGGATAATTTGATTGCTCCTTTATTGGTCCACATGACTCATGTACTCCATCTGTGCGTTGGTGCTTTGACACTGGCTGAATTAGTGTGTAACTGTTCTCAAGCTTTTGCAGGTGTCCCAACTCCATTATCAGCTTCTCAGAAGTGACCATCATGTCCCTTTTCTTTTTGTTCACCTCCCACACGTCCTTCCACTTGCTCATCACATGTCAGGATCTTTGGAACTGATAAGAGAGTGCTCATACAGAAAACGTAAAAACTTCTCATTGAAGGTCACATAGGCAAGGGATGTGCAAAACAGGCATTTGCATTTTGCTATGTCTTTTGGTGAGGGAGGTTTGTTCTGAATCTACCAGAGTGCTTTGGGGTAATAAGAAAGGAACTGACAGAATTTGGAGGGGAAAGGATGATTGAATGAATAGTCTCTGGAGGTCAAGGTTTTGGAGGTGAGCAGGAAGCACCAGCACGGACTAAGTAGAAAGGTACGATTTAATTCCGATGGCGGTGCTTGCCATGGCACCTATGTGATGCTCTATGATTCTATACAATTTCCCAGCTCTTTGGCTGGTTTACCTTGTCATCACAGCACTCTGGATAATCAATCACTGCATTTTCTTCAAGGAAAATGAAACGGCACTTTGCACAATGATAGGGACTTTCATGGGAAAAAGGTCCACCTTTGCAAGAAGTTACACAATTTCCAAATCAGTGGCTCTGACAGATAAATGCTAGAAACATTATTTCAACAAGGTCAATCCTGTTTTCATTTGTTTGACTTTTTTTTTAGCATCCCCATTGATTTGCTGGCTCATTGTTAATAGAGAAGTTTGCCACTGTGAGTATAGGACTTCATAATAAGTAAAAGTGAGTTTATTCATTATAATTCCCATTACACACATGAAATAATTTATATTTGTTTAGGAACAACTAAGTTCACATTTCTTACAACTTATTAGCAAGTAATGAAGTCTGAGTGTGACCAAAAACAAACAAACAAACAAACAAACAAACAAACCACACAAAACCAACCAACCAACCAACCAACCAACCAATCAACCAACCAAATAAAAAACAAGGAGAAAAAAAAATCCTCAGACAGCAATGAATGCAATGAAAAACATCTACAAAAAATAAACACCTGGAGTTTATTACAGTGATGCAAGAGCATTCCAAAATGGAAGTGGGTACATAAGAACCAGCAATTTGGTTGCACATTGGGAAAAAATGATTCAGAGTTAGGGTGTAACTCAATGATAGAGTACTTGCCAGGATGAAGATGGTCCCAGAACTGATCCTCATCACTGTAAAATTAATATGTAAAGCTTATGAAGGGAGATGATTGGTTTTTTTGAGACCTAGACCACTGTTGCAAAAACTGGGCTCCATAAAATGATACTAATATTACTATTACAGAAAATTGGATCCACATGCAAATGCTTTGGGAAACAGATAAAGAAAACTGAAGTTGCTTCTATTCTGGGAGACTTGAAAGCCTTCAGAATACTAACATTATCATGAATCTTCAGGGGATGACTATAGTATGCAATCTTATTCTAATTAATGGACTTAAAAAAAGACCTTACAATGCAAAAAAAAAAAATGTGTCATAGCCCATTCCTTTACACCTGCTGAAAACGTATTTGTACAACACAGTTTTAGAATGACTTAAAATGACTCCCCAGTTCTTTGGTTATAGTGTTTGCTTATAGGGAGGGCCTATGATATGCTTGAACACACAGAGGGAGAATTGTAGGAGTCTTTTCCCATCCATTCATTTCCTTTCTTAAACTAAAAATCTGCTTAACTTTGGCTCTTTGGCCTGCCTATACTTCTCTCCAATTCCAGTGAGCATACACATCCCTGTGTGGCTTCAAATGCCCTAGATCTTGCTGTCCACAATGCTCTTCCTATGTTGTGAATCCTGAATCCCTTTCTTGTCACATTAGCACAGGTGTTGCCCACTTTACTTTGAGTGTCTTCTTCTGTGCCACTAGAACTTCTTGGATGAACAATTTCAGCCTAGGGTCTAAATGGGATCTGGTAACCACTGGTTCACTAGGCTGTATCATCCACTGCACTGTAATTTTTTTTTTTTTAAGGAAGCCAAGGACCATTCCTTCATATCATTAACACCAGGCCATATAGTTAATGTCTACCATAGGTTATCTATAAATTGTATTCAATGAAGTAAAATAATACATAATACAATAAGGGGAACAAACTCTCTCTCTCCTCTCTCTCTCTCTCTCTCTCTCTCTCTCTCTCTCTCTCTCTCTCTCGTTCTGTCTTTCTCTTTCTCAGACAAGAGTAATCATTAATGACATCAGTTAGAATAGCAGCTTCCCTTCAAGGAGATAGATTCAGAGAGTGAAGGAAAGGTTCTTCTAGGTGCTAGAAATAT